AAAAAAAAAAAAATTTGAATTTTGTTTGCTAAGTCAGGACTCTCGTGTGTTGTCATTTCCTGTCAGAATATGAATTTTATTGCGTCTTCAAAGTCTTTGCACCAGATCCCATAAATCGGGAGTGGCCTCACAAATGACATTTGGTTCCTGCTCTCTCTGCGTGCCTTCCCCGGAGCAGCCCAGTCTGTCTGCTCGTCACCCCCTGTCCACTTCCCCGGCCTCACAGGTGCTCCCCTGCGCCTGGGCCCCTGGGACGGCTAAAAGAGAAGGACAATTCCCGGAGCTGCTGTGTTCAGGACCCGTAGTCACTTCATTTACACCACACAACAATCCTGGGAGGCAGCCGGTCCTGTCTCCATGGCACCAATGGTGACATGGCAGCGAGTGACAGAGCTTGGAACGGAGACCAGGTCTCCCAGACCCCAAATCCTGTACTCCTGTGTTCCCGCTGCTTCTCTCACACAACCAAAGTCAAGTGCAGGCACCCAGAATCTGGGACCCAGAGACCTAGGTCCAAATGATGGCTCTGCGGATAATCGGTCCTGCCATGTGAGCACATGACTGTGGTGTACTTCAGTGTCCTCATCAGGACAGTGCAGGTCATCAGCCTGCCCTGCCTGCTTCCCACAGATATGAGAAGAGTCAAGAACAGAGGTAAGGAAGGGTATTTTGAAAACCCCTGTGCGCTCTAGAAACACTGCTTACACAGGACAGTCTTTGATGATGGTTTGTGGCTGTGGCCGGCAAAGGATCGCGTGTGTGAGCCCTCCAAGGGGCTGCCCTGGAGGGCAGTGTCCTTTGTGACCCGCAGGTCTCTGAACCTGGGAGAGTAGAATCAGGACCCTGGGCAGCCTCCACCGTCCCCCTAGGCCCTGAGAGACGGCTCAGTGCAGATGACAGGAGATGGTCAATGCAGACGCGTTGGACAGGGAAGGAAACAATGAGAATGAACAAAGCACCGCCAGATAATTAAGCAAGCTGGGAGGAGCACCTGAGAATTTAACCACCAAAAGTAAACTCCGTCTGCCGCCTCACAAAGTGGGATTTCCCAAGGCTCAGGCGACCCGCTCACTCTTCTCCCACACAGACTTGGTTTGCAAGACTGGCGTTTATGGAAGCATTTATGTGATACTGAAGTTGTAATTTAGCAACCTCTTAAAACGCTTTATAAGCTTCTCTCCGAAATTACTCAGGAGGGTTGGCTGTGATGCCCATGCCTCACCCACTTCGGCAGACACCTCGACAGGATGCCTGACAGCGCCCCCCCCCCCACCGGGAGCGGAAAGGGGGACATTAGGCCCCCAGAGCTCTGGATGCCATGGAACCAGGTCCTCACAGCGGCCCCGTCTTCCAGCAGAGCCTAGGATGGGGCTGTCCCTGGGGTTTCTCAACCTCAGCACTGACATCGTAGACTACATAATTCCTTATGGGCGGGGAGGCTTCCGGTACATCGTAAAATGTCAGCAGCGTCCCTGGATTCTATCACCAGATGCCAGTAGCAACCCCCTCCCCCAGTTGTGGCAATCTGAGATGTCCCCAGACACTACCAAATATCCCCTGGGAGGCCAAACCCCCTCCCCAGTTGACAACCACTGATCATCAGGACAGGGGCTCTGACCAGACCTCTTATAAATGCCCCCCTCTGATTTCTAGGACAACTCATGCAGAGTCTGGCTGTCACTGTGGGGCCCACTCAGGCAAGTCCCTAAAGCACCCATGCTTCAACTTACCTTATGTGGGACACAGCGTGCTCTTCCAAGGGCAGCCCTTCCAAGGCCTGGCACGGCTCTTCTCCGGGGCCTCTGGCTGCCAGGCATCTGAAGTTTCTGGGTTTTTTCACCCCTCCGCTGAACGATCCATATCTGAAGATGATTGCAGGTTTCCTTCAGGGCAACCGAGTGGGCAGGTGTCTGATGCTCTGTTCCCATCGCTCCCAGCCTGTGCATCAGGGTGGCCGCCAAGGGCCAGAGTCCAGGCAGGTGTCTCCCAGGCTATGAGGAGAGGCACGTACCTCTCCTGAAGCGGGTGACAAGCGGGTCAGAGAAGGGCTTCTGGTCGCGCTTGGTCCTCTGCCTTTCTCCACGTTGCAAACTGCAAGGCCACCCCTCGGGGGGGAAGTGTGGAGGGGGCTTCACGGGAGCAGATTGCTCTGCTCTCTTCCACCTAGAAGCCGGGGCCATGACAAGATGGAAGTGAGGCCCATGCGGAACAGATGCCCTGCCTGCATCAGGGAAGAGAACCCAGGACTCACAGAGCCACTCGTCTCCCAACACAGCCCCAGGGATCTGCCCACCCCACTCCCCATGGCACCCCAGCCTTAGAGAAAATCCCCCCTGTTCGGCATCAAGTAAACCAGGAGTGCCCATTCATCAGGTTTTATTTCAAAATAGAGTCCATTTCAAGACCATTCTTTCTAACATTAATCTAAAGGAGCGCCTGGGTGGCTCAGTCGGTTAAGCATCTGACTCTTGGTTTCAGCTCAGGTCATGATCTCGCGGTTCATGAGCTCAAGCTCTATATTGGGCTCTGCATTGATGGTGTGGAGCCTGCTTGGTATTCTCTCTCTCCTTCTCTCTGCCCTTCCCCTGCTCCTGCTCTCTTGCTTTCTCTCTCTCTCCTCAAAATAAATAAATACAATACAATACAATACAATACAATACAATACACTGGGCTAAGGGTCAGCGGCCTGGACTCCAAGCCAAGCTCTGCCCCAAACTTCCCAAGTGACCCCCGTCCATTCCGGGCCCCAGAGCCCCAACCTGAACAGGAAGTGCCCAGACAAGGCAAGCTTGAGGCCCTCTTCCATCTCAGACATTATAGGATTTGAGGCCTAGGCATTTCCTGTGGAGGGGGCCAGGAGTCACCTGCACATGTCCGTGACTCATTCACCACCCCCCACAGCCACCATCCTGCTTCTTTGCCACTAGCCTGGAGAATAAAAGAATGGAGAGGTGTTACAGAGATTCCAGCTTATGACATGATTGAGTTTTCTTGTTGTTTTTTTGTTTTTGTTTTTGCAAACCCTCTTGGACCTCAGGCCACCCTTTGCTTCCACGCTTCCACCAGAGCAAAGGCATGGGCTTCCTCGGGGCCTGCCCTGGTAGGCAGAGGCCACACGAACCCACCTCCTGGGGCTGTTCCCCAGAAGCCCCCATTTGGAGGTACAGAGTCACCGGGATGTTGAGCCGGCACCTCGGCACGTCCAGGCTGAAATGACATCTCTGGCCAACTGAGCCAGGGACACGGCTTTGCCAAAGAAGGGGCTCAGAGGGTCTCAGGCTGGCCCACAGGGGCCTGGGGTCTGAACTCAGGCAGACCTGGGTAGTTGAAGCTACCCAGCCACTCTGAGCCTCAGTTTTTCCTGGAGGAACCACAGTCACAGGATTGTGAGAAGTAAACATGCTTGATGAACAGGAACTGGTGTCACAGATTTGAGAGATCAAAACTGTTCTTAGAACCCATATAGCCTAAGCTCCAGCCAAATGCTGTATCCAGGGGCTCAAATCACTCACCCTGGTTTCATGGGATGCAGCCCAGCTGTGCAAGAAAGACAGCTGATCAAAGAGCAGCAGGAGCCCCCTAGACCAGGACCCTCTGGCCTCTGACGAGAAGCTAGCACCTTCCAAAAGCTACCCCCACTTCCTGCCAGCACCGGTGCTGGCTTTAGGGCTACAGAGCTGACAGGATGCTCTCTGCCCACCATGGCCCCAGCTTCAGGGTCAAGGGGAGGAGGGGAGGTGCTGCTGTAGGAACATAAAATGTCCTGGCTTTTCCCAAGCCCACCTTGGAAGGCCACCAAGTTCAAAATCAACCACTGGGTTTGTGGATCCTTTTTTGGTTGAAGAAGAAGAAGAAGAAGAAGAAGAAGAAGAAGAAGAAGAAGGGGTATCTGTTCTCAAATGAGCTTCCATCTGAAAGCCAAGGTTCTCCGTGGGCAAAGACCCAAGAAATCAAGCATGAGTCTGCTGCCCAGCTGATCATTCCCTTCAACATAGAAGGGACTGGGAACGGCCTGTCACAGTGGGCCCGAGGAGGAAAGCAGGGTCCCTCTTTTCCTGCTTCTCGGTGCTGGT